TGTCTGTGGTTTGGGTTTTGCATTGGTATTGTTTTGTTATTGTTTTAATAGCCAGAGTTTTGTTCTTGATGTTTAAGTTTTTCATTATAGTAGCTTAAAAATAAATAAGGGTGAGATGTAGGAAGCGGCTATAGGGTTAAGCCTCAGACTGACCTGTTGGCAAAGCCACAAACAAGTCCCAGGTAGAGGGCACAGCCCTCTTAGCATAATTAAGCTTGACTTTAGGACACTCCCTAGATCCTATCTGGGTGGCTAATGGGCTGTGGGAGGTGCAGCAAGTTCTGCCAAAACAAGTGAAACTCACAAGAACATTATAACTATGGAAACCACCACCTTATTTACCTCTGGCTATCTGTATCTCTCTATGTGGCCTCAGCCAGGCACAGGAGATCCACCTAGACCCAGCTTATTCTCTTTGTCTATCTTTTCTTTAATCCTTTGCTGCCCCCCTCAGGCTCACCGAACCCTTGGCTGTGCTGTCCTGGCACACACAGCCAATTGAGCAACAGCTTATTTTGGGAGCCATTCTGGTGTGATGAACAAAACATGCCTCAGCAGAAGAGGGAAGAGGGACGGGTTTCAGGCCAGACTAGAGTTGGTATCAGACTGAGCTGGGATTTCCATGGGGAAAGGGTAGTGTCGGATTGAGCTGGAATTTCAGGGAAGGGGCAGGGTCAGTAGAGGCAGGAATGGAGAGATCAAGCAGTGAGAGCGAACAGTGCACCCTATCCTAGCACTCACCTGACCTCTCCAGACCTTGGCCTTGTGGCGCTCTGTTGTACCGTCACGTAGGTGAGTGCAGAACTGCAGAGAGCTGCAGGTTTTATAAGTCCAAAGTGGGAGGGATTTGGAGCCAGCACTGGGCCTTGGCTGTCTTACAGGAATGGGTGGGGTTTGGGGTGGGAGGGCCCCTCTGGCTTCCCTCATTAGCACCCCAGCTGAAGCCAAGATTAGACTGGCCTGAAAACCCAAAATGTGGGTTTAGTGTGTAGAAAATAAGACAGAAGCAACACCAAAGGGCCTAATATTTTAGTTTTTTGAGCTGTAATCCCGGCTTCTCGCTTGCACTCCAAACTCCAGCTCTGCAGGAGCCAACAGCTTTTTCTAATAAACGTGATCTCCAGAGGACAGAGAGTGGAGGGGAAAGGTGGCCCCAGGCCAGTCTGAGGACCAAAGGTCCAGGTCAGGGGCAGCCCACAGGCCCCAGGCAGCCCACCCTGGAGAGA